GTTCTGTTTCAGCCAAACCAGGACACACAAACAGCACAGCCTCTCACCAGTGGAATCCACACTTTGTAATTAAGTTGCAGATCACTTTTCTTAAAGGATGCACTTTTGAAAACACTTTTTAATTTATGTCTACTCTCATGCTAAACGCACACGGAGAAAACTACAGTCACAAATTCAGTATGGAGGCACAGAAGCAGGCTATAAAACAAGAATATCTGAGTGCGTTTAAGACAAACTAACATAACACTTGGACGCAGAGTGGCCGAGAAACAGCAAGCTCCTGCCCTTCTGCTTGATGGCATAACAAGGAAGGGGCAGCAGAAATCTGCGCTGGGTTAGACAGCTGCACACTGTCAGTGCCAGACAGCGGCAGTGCCTCTACAAATGCCCAGCAGGACCCAACGGTGGGTGATGCAGCACCGCTGGCCATGCACATGTGCCAGAGCATCAAGAGAAATTCTGTGTTTTCTGACTGCTCCGTCAGAGCTCCACTGAGGGGTAAATGCTTGCTTATGGCTCCTCACCAAGACAGTTTGCTATCCTTTGCAGAGATCACCAGATCCCAAGGAATGCTTCACATGCTTCCGGATACCGAAATCCCTGGCACAAGCACAGAAGACTTGCCTTCTGTACAAGTTAAGGCCTGCTGTGTTAAGAGTCAAAAAAACCCACTGAGCTCCTGGATCAACGATTTGCAGACCTCATGCAGAAGATATTAGAGTCCCACCTACCTACCTGATCATTTCAGACACGCATTCCCACAGGATCCCATCAGACAGGATGTGCAGAGATGGCGTATTTTCTTCCATTATAGTTATGTTACAACCCCAAATAACATGTGTAAACCAGTAAGAGCAGTCTCCCAGCTCAGATAGAATTACGGGTTTGCTAAATAACTATACAACACAGCTACATCAGCAGTTTTGCAGCTAAACACAAACGACAAGCTTAGGCCAGCTTAGCATTTTAGATGTGCCAACATGTCTTTACTCAGTTCGGCTATATGCACAGTTTCCTGTATGCTCTGCCTGCAGCTAGCATAGCCTATCAGAGTCATTAAAGCCTAGAAAAAGTTCTCAAAAGTATCAAAATCCAAACCCACCCCTTGTACCACCAATAACAGTGCTGATCTCTTGTTACCTGTTGAAGAGATGTACTTGGTGTCATGAACGCATCTGGAGTCATCAGCTTAGGTTTGGCATCATTTGAGAGAGAAAGGAAGTCTGCTGGTACAGGCAGATCGGCAATACGCCGCAGGTCTGTTTGAGAGCCATGCACCGATCCTTTTTCAGATCCCAGCCCTTCTGTGCTTAGATCAGCCATGTGATCTGGAAAGGCTTGCAAGGGAGAAATACAAATCAATTTACAAGAACTTCTCCCAAAAGCTATAGCTTTAATTCCACAAAGTATGAACTTATGCCATTTCCAGCTATACTTGATTCCAAAAAGAACAAGCAAGAACCCTGCAATATCCCAGTCAAAGCTTAGGGCAAAGCAAATCCTGTGTTACGCTTACTCTTTGTATGCTAAAGAGTGGACTTTATCAGGCTTTGGTAATAAGAGATCCAAGCTTCCTTTCTTCCCTAAATCCAAGGCCAGTTTAACAACCACATCCCAGAATCGTGAATGAACTGAAAGGGTACACCACACACAGCCCAGTCCCGTCTACTCCCAAAGCTCTGGTGTCACTCCAATCTCTTCCACCTACCAAGAGACAAACGTCAAGTTTCTGGCACAAGTGCCAAATCACCAAGCAAGGTGAAGGAAGCATGCACAAAGCATTAGCGCTTCTAGCCTAATGTGTCCCCATGCTCCATAGTCACACTGGGGTCTAATCAAGTGGCCTGCTTCACAGCTAGTCTATATTCAGAACACTTTATGCAATGACACCACTCTATTACAAAGAGGCACCCAAAGTTGCCCTCCTGCTGCCCTGTGCAACAACCTTTAAAGGCTCACCAACACTGAAGATTGATTTAACACAAATGCTCACCAAATTCTTCATGAGAGCCATGGGAAGGCATGGATGCACTCATGTCAGGGCTATGAAGAGGCTGGAATCTAATCTGCACATCCTGTAGGGCCCTGAAAAACACAGAGGCATCTCTGATTAGTTTATGAATCACCAAGAGAAGTCTAAGGCTTAGAACATTTCTCTTCATGGAACCAATTCCCTTAGAATACACTTTAGTGTTTTCTGTCTGTGACAGAAGCAGCAGAAGCTGATTCTCCTTCAGCTGCGTCACCCAGTTCTGGCACCCAGGGTATTCGATAGATGTTTCCCAGCACTTACGCACGAGCACAACTCTTAAGTCTCTGCGTACTCATGGCAACAAAAACATTAGCTTGCCATGGTGCCATTAGCACCATGCAGGGCTACTTCCTGGTAAGGCCATACCGAACACACCACAGTTAGAAGTTTCTATGGGTCCAAGTAGGTTTTGTTATGAGCAAAAGGAATTGGTTAAGCTACACTTCTACAGGTCAGTGCAGGATTAGGACAACCACAGACAGCTGCCCATGGTCGCTACTACACATACTCACCTGGTGTGCACGCAGAAGAGTTTTATCAGCACGCCTGCTGCTGATTCCACAGCCCCAGCTCCCTGAGCACCTTCTGGAAGGGAGACAAAAGTAAAACATGAAGTTGGATGGAAACTGCAGACAAAGCACTAGAAAAACATCACAGGAGACGAACCAGCAGCAGAGAGCCAGCACGATACAGCTTCGTCACTTCTCCACTTCAGAGGTGGATTCACCTTGTTAAGGGAAAGTATATCCTACACTCCCTTTACTTTTCAATGCAAGAGCAATCAAATTTGCTCTAATGCAGCCAAATAAGCCTCAAGGAAGAAGAGAGAGAAAAAAAAAAAAAAGATACCTCACCAGGTAAAGAGGAGGAAGCTAAGGTCTGGAACTGCCAGCGGTTTGTTCTGGCTGTTGAAATGACTGGTTGGATATATTTTAAGAGATGCACACTAGCTTATATTATACAGAAGTTCAGACTAGGGTTCAACCATCCTTCCTGGCTGTAAACAACTGTAGTTATGAAGAGCTCTGCAATAACTTCCCCTCAGCCAGTACTGACAACATTCACTCAACACCTGTATCAGTCTCACTGCTAAGAAAGCTAAGGAGGCCAAGTAGAAAACATAAATCTAACTCCCCATAAAAAAAAAAATCATTCAATTGGCATTCCTATGCAAATTCTCCTAATCATGTGAGCACCAATCAGGGACCTGAAGTTTCAGTACCAGTCTGCTCCTGACTTGCTACATGTATCAATTATTTTTACTTCTGCATTTCAGAGCAATATGCCACAAATATTGTCAACAACATGCATTAACTATTACGTACAATAATAGGCACAGGGAAGCACATCACACAGCTGTATTGATAGTCCAGGAATCTTTCTAACAGGAAATACGGTGATGTTACTCAAAGCATCTTTCCAAATTTTACTAATGGAAAGGTAGGAGATCAAGAGCAAGCCAAGAGTTGAAGAGAGGCAGCAATCGAGGAACGCCTGCACGGAACAGTTCTCCACAGGATACACTATCATATTCATTGTAGTAACAGTCAGAAGAACCAGAGCAGGTACAGAAGTGTCATGTTTGGGGCCTGCAACATGCAACTAGGTGAAGCCATAGGTGACCTGATCTGCCACTAGCAATAGTCCTGCTTCAAGCAGTAGGTTGGATCAGAGACCTCCAGAAGTCCCTTGTAACCACCTCTACTGTGTTTCCCTGAAGTACTGTAGCCGCACAGGATGTATTTCGTACAGACTAAGAGAAGAAGAATCATAGAATCGCTTAGGTTGGAAAAGGCCTTTAGTAAGATCACCAAGTCCAACTGTTAACCTAGCACTGCCAAGCCCACCACTAAACCACATCCCTAAGCATCATGTCTACACGCCTTTTAAATACCTCCAGGGATGGTGGCTCAACCACTTCCCTGGGCAGCCTGTTCCAACACTTGATAACCTTTTTGGTGAAGAAATTTTTCATAACAGCCAATCTAAACCTCCCCTGGTGCAACTTGAGGTCATTTCCTCTTGTCCTATTGCTTGTCACTTGGGAGAAGAGACCAGCTTTTCATGAGAAAGCCAGAACCAGCCAAGAAAGAAATCCTGATCTCACAGGAACCAAATTCTCTTCGTCACCTACCTACACTCAAGCTGTCATTTTCCTCTTCTGCTGGGAGCACTTCGGTGTGTCTTAACCGACAGCGGCTCACTGCCTGGATGCCAAAGCTTAGGACCGGGTGGGTAAGGAGGAACTCTGAGATGGAGCTGAAGTAAGCTTTGCCCTCCTCTTGGTTCTGCATCAGCTCCATCACATACAAGACCTGGAAGAATCAGAAACAGTAAGTCATTGGGTTTTCAGCGCAGACGACGCGTGCATGCATGTGGACTGCACAGCCTAGCACCTGAACTAGATTTGGAACAATGGGAATAACATGAGGAACAAAGCCTGGGCCATTTAAATTTGAAAGAGAAAACCCAAGGGAATTAAGCACGCTCCTATCTGAGTCAATGTTGATCACAAACCCCACCCTATTGTGCCAGACACAGGTGTCCCCAAAGAGCTTTGCTTTAGGGTGGAAAATAATCCTTAAGGCTCCTCAGGATTAACCAGCTGAACTGTTACCATTTGTCATCTTATGGTGAAATAGCTGAGGCCACCCTCTGAATTTTTAGCTATTAATGTGGAAATCCAAGACCTAGGCAGCAGAACCAGTCACATAGAAGGCCATTTCTCCTTCTGTCACCATTACCCGCACAGCCAGCAGTAAAATGAACCACCTACTTTTCTCTGCACATCGCTCAGTATCAGATATTCAGCAGAGAGATCCAAGCAGACTTTCAGGCTGGGAAGAATACTCATGGAGCTGAAGATGTCAGGAGAAAAGCTAGATCCACAAATAAGAGGGAGGGGGATGTTCAGAAAGCAAGGTAGATTAGCACAGCCAGAACAACTGCTATGAAACTGCACTAGTTTATAAAAAAAATTAAGGCATTTACAGCCTTATTACAGTGCAACCACCCACTAGAACAAAAGTATCATTGCAGAAATCAGAGCTGACTTCAGCTAAGAGACCAGCAGGGAGATCACACAAGATCTAGTTATGAATTCTGAACATTTAAACGAAAGATGATAGTTTGTCATTACTTCACATGTTCCACATTCATAGTAGGACAAGAGCCAATGCTACAGATTTAAAAACAAAAATCCACCAAAGCAAAATAACCCTTCTATAGGTTTTGGACTTTCTGTAGTATGAGGTAGAAAAAGCAGCACTCAGCTGTATGCTACATTCTTCTCACTTTAAGAGGGCAATTCAGAAGTGACCTTAAGCATGTATGTGATCAGAAAGGCCGTAATTCACCATCAGAAAAATAAAATCAGGGAACATAAGCTGAGTGAAGGGATGGACTAAAGCAGATTTTGAACTTCTGGACCTATATGGCTCAGCAAATAAGGCTTGTATAATTGCTTAAGCTCTGTCAACATAGCAGCTTCTGATTATTTAAATCAGAAAAAGCAATAATAGCAAGAGATCCTAGATTGGTTATTGAATATCTAGTGCTTTTACAGAAGGAAGCACTCACGGTGTGCAATTTTGGAATGCCTCTCCTCACGCTACAGGTATGTCTATGCTCTACAGAACACAGCAAAGACAACAGGTCTTGCTAACACCAAGGAGACTGTATAAAAGGATCAACCATCCCGGCCTTGCCAACGCTTGATCTGACAGTCTGCCACAGCCCTGACAGCTTTCAACAGATAGATCAGATTGGCAAGGGAGAAGGCTCTAAATGGGGCTAGAGCTGACTCCACTGGAGATCAAGGATCACTTTTTGCAAAGTACATATATCTGGAAATTGAGAGCTTTCTTAGAATCCACTGCTCCAAGTAAATCCAGCTCTTCAGGGGAGCTGGCATACCAACACCTACCGGACAGTTTGCAGACAGGTCCAAGATACAGTGCACCACATCTTCAGTTCTCTGTTCTGATCTGCTCCTGTGATGAGAAACCTCCAGAAGGGCACCCTGCAGGCACAACAGAATTAAGTTCTCTTAAAGAAGACCTGGTCCTTCCCATAAGCGCATTTCACCGAAAAGTTCCTCACAAGCTGCCCATAGCCGATTTTGCCTAACCGTGTCTTAAAGTTCCCAGAAAATTTCTGCTTCTGAGGCAGATTAGAAACCACTATAACTCTCAAGAACCTTAAGGCCACAACTGACTGAAAGAACAAAAATAAGACAAAAAAAAAAGCTATTTTTTAATCAACTGCAGTAGAAATTTGGAGGATAACAGACCAGTTAAAACTGACCATAACACAAACCTGAAAGGACTCATCAATTTAGAATTTTAATTGCTTTCATGGAATTGACACTAGGATTAAGGTCACTTTAGGTTGTGCTTCAGAGTCTTATTTATTTCTCCATCACTAGAAAACTGACTACAAAGAGGACAGGACTTGCTCCTGCCACAAAGCTAAATTTTTCACAAGTACAATGCAGTTACAAGGAACTCTCCAAAGCCAGAGTTAGAAGACACTACCAAACTTTGATACTCCACATACAGGACTGAGGACTTACTCTGGGTCTTGCTTTTTATGGTTGTCACAAAAGAGCAGGCAGGAAAGAGGCCTACCATCATGGGGTTTCCACTCATGAAGACACCTAGGAAAGAATCAGAGAAAACATCCAAATGTGCAGGGAATGGTAAACAAGGAAGATAAGAGGTGGGCGCTGAACACATTACTCCTTGTCCAAAGACAGCATTAAGTCAGCAGCCACCAAGTGTCATCAACTTGCAGCTGTTTACAGGCTTATATAAAATGCATAGATTGTGAGCATTAAATAAATAAATAAAAATCACATGTTGTCATTTGGTTTGGTGTCTTAACAAAGGTATAATACATAAAAGAAGTCAACATTGAGAGGAACAGCTCAGAGAAGCTTTCTGCATTTACAGGGACAGGGCAAAAGAGTTTGACTACAACCTGTGCAAAGCACAGAACTCCTGTTTCCAGACAATTTGCCTTTTCCATAAGTTCACCAAACCTTGTGTGGTATTCAGTGATACAACTCTTCGGCAACAAATTACTTTACATTCCCCCTATATCTTTGTAATGTCCTGAGAATGACTATCGCAGGTGATTCTGTAACAAGAAAATTCTCACAGAGAAAATGCTGCTCTCTGTTCCAAGATCCTTCATTTTCTAATTCTCTAGTTACCTTGGCTCATCTTGCCCCTCAATATAGATCTGCCAGAACTTGACAAAACCATCATGGCTTGCTGTGGCCAACACAGTTCCATCTGGAGAAAGTGCTCCCTCACTGAGGCACTACAGAGGGGGGAAAGACACAGAAAAGTAATTTTATAGCTTTTTTTATTTCACAGGAAGAAAAGAGTACTTTCTTCAAACAGGAGTTTGACTAACAGTCTAATAGCACAGGAGGTCAGAGTGATTTCTGACAGACACGTCACCAGGCAGCTTAACCCTTCACAGAAGAATTGACAGGACTTTTTTTTTTTGGCAATAATAAACAACCACCTTTTCCAGACAGCAAATTTAAGTACAATGGATTGTGCTGCTACTGTTCCCACTGTTAATCATGTTATGAACAGAGCTCAGTTTTTTTGGCATCTCCTGGCTTTTCACAATCATTATTGTTTCATCTAAGTGACACAATTACTTTGTCATCATCCCGTTCAAGAAGTGAAACTGGACTCTTTCGAGTTGTTTCTTTCATCTTCAAAATACCACCTACTGGATACTCAGCTGCAGTCCTGGTCGACTGTATTGACAGATATAACTATACTCATTAGGGAAACCATAGAAGAATAAAGATGACATTGGGCTTAATTTTTCCCCTTCTCATCCAGCACTAAACCACAGCAGTGTTAAGCACTCCATTTACCAGGAGATATAACAAAATAGTTGAAATACAGCCCAGGTTGTCAAACAGATCCTTAGAAATACAAGTGAGTTTTTTCAAGAGCCATTTCCAAAGCAAATGACTACACATTCACCTTGGCTCTTTAAACAAAGGCTGCTTAGCAATAGTGCGTACATAGCCAGTAGGTTGTGGGTGATAGTGTGGACGGGTAGGAAATTGGGCTTTTTTACAGCCAGCTGTCCTAAGAACTGCAGCTCTGAGACACTATTACCCAAAGAAAACCTAAGTGATCCGTAGCAATCACCTACGGGATGGCAGTAAAGAAAACTAAATATGTTTATACCGTGCTGTGGCCTTTCACTACGATGAAGCCTTCTTTGATGCTAGGCACTTCCACTGGCCAGGAGCTGTTGTTCGTTCGGATAATGTCCAAATCCCACACCTCTGCCTGGAAAACAAATATGTAGGCATGCAGGTTTATTTCAACAACTACTGGTCTGATCCAGTGGAGAATTTCTTATATCCTTATCTTATATCCTGACATACCAGCCCAATCGCCGGTAGGAGACATAAACCTTCCCATTTCCAGCCAACTTGACCATTAGACGCTTTCCTGCCACCCAGCCATACAGAAGTAGAGGGAACTGCTCTTGGCAGTTGTAAGCTGCTGCTCACCAAGCCCTCTCCTCTCGGTACTGGCTCAGCCTGAACAGACGAGGGATGCCTCTGGTCCTTGTTTCTAGTGGTCCTTGCTACTTGATGGTGAGCAGAAGTTATCACTTTCCATCCTCCTGAGGCCCAGAGAAAGATCCGTATGACCTCTCCTCGGCAGAGGAATCCCATATATCATATTATGGGAGGATCCCCAACATGGACTAAATAGGAACCTTTACAACTCTAACCGTATCAGCTCTTTCCTTCATCAGATTCTCTCCCTCTAATGATAATAAGGAACAATGTTTCAAAAGTAGGGTTTCCTTACCCTGTCCTCATGCAACAACGCCAACGTCTGACTTCCCTCTTCACCACTCTCCTCATTATCATCCGGGATGAAAGGGCACCAGATGATTCTTCGAGAGGTGTTCAACGGGGTATTGTCAGGTCGCTTGATGTTAACCAAGATCTCCTCTCTGATCACCATGGTTAAGAAATGTAACATTCTGCCTGTGTTACTAATGCTTAGCAATAACCTATTCAGGCTTGGTCCTCTGTTAGATACTATTAAACCTCGGGATTTTTTGGATCATTGTGATTCAAAAAGAAATCAGGTAAAAGGATTCTGCTAAGAAAGCAGACAAGTTAGCGTTTCTTCACTGGCAGAAGAGGTTAAGCTTACAACAGTTAATAGATTCTCATAATTTCCTCTTGCAGGTTGCAGAGAGGAACAGGATAAGCCCAACAGGGGCACACAGTCACATCTGAATGTGCAATCCACGTGACTGCTGATGGACAGGTTAAATGCTTTCAGGTAGCATTGCAACACTACCACAGAAAGACAGAAAAGCTACCACATCGCCCCAGGCTGAGCACTCTAGTCCACCTCTACAAATCAGACCTTAAACAACTACAACCACCTCTGCTCCAGTTGCTTTTGAAATGATGGTATACAATTAAAATTAAGAAGCCACAGCCTAAGACGACATATCCCATGGACTGACATGCTTCCCAAAAGTACTGAGCAGTCAGTCCTGGCAATTAAAAGGAAAAGATCTAGGGCAATTAATCAAACACTGAAAATAAATTTCAGGACCAAAAGAAGACGACAGATTTGGAAAGAAGACAGGGAGTAGGAGGGAAGTATTGCATCCTCTTCCCCAGAAAAATAACTGAGGAAAAGAGCTAGAACCAGGCCAATGTGAGTAAAAAAACTGTCACAAGGTTGAGGTGACACCGTCCATATGTAAGGCCAGCTAGTGCAGACTGACACTTCTCACTGCCTACCTCTGCCTGGACCAGAAGGACCACTGTCACTCCTAGAATTTCAAGTTACACGCAATTTCAAGTAACAATTGTGCTGAATACAGGCACAAGTTGATTGATTTGATATCCAGGAAGGGACAGAACTTTCAACCTTCCTCCTGCAAGCTGCTATTCTGGAAAGGCTACAAAGTAAGTTGCAATTTTGAGGTTGCATTCACATCTAACCACTACAGAAAGGCTGATGTGAGGTGTATTTTGACAAGATACTGGATTTTTTCTTTATTCATGGCCAGGCGCCAGACAAAAAGGTTGCCAGCCTCATCCAGGCACGCCAGCTGGTTGGAGTTGAGATGAGCAAAAGCCAGGTCTGCCACGCCACCTGTGAATCCTTTCAGCAAGGTCCGCTCAGCAGTGCTGACGCTCAACACTCGCACCATAGCGGAGCCATTACTCGCAGCTGCAGAAAACAGAGGGATAAGTCACCATTTATCTGTGTGGTTTCCCCAGAGGACTGCCTTTGTTTCCAGCTATCAGCATTTCCAGCACCCATCCTGCCATCAGCTATCACTGGCAGCACTCTGAAAACCCGTATCAATAGGGACCATGTTACCAAGCCCTTTCAAGACATGCACAAATATTCACTGCACTTTCCAGCTTTGGTGCAGAAGACCAGAACAGCACCATCAAGAAGGACTTTGCCTGCCTTGCAAGGGGCAGCTTAACTCCCCGCACCTTCTGTTTCTTCAGCACTGCAAATTCTAAGTCGTTCTACTTAAAAAGAAGGCAACAGAAGCTGACTTCTCATAATTCCCAGAATTATTCTCATGAAAGACACCTTCATTAAAGGCAAGGCCCAAATCTTTATCCCGAGTTCATGATAAAGCTACCAAACTTCCAAGGCTGACCTCCATCGACAGTGAATTAATTTTAAGTGCAATTTCATTTTCAGTAACTGGAGAAGAGGAGTCACTGAGATGCAGGTAGCTCAAATACATGTTCTCTAAGGAGAATATAAAAAGCATAAACATTTGCCTGGCAAAAAGCACTGCTTTTTGGCTTGCATGACTGAAAAGAACATGCTTTAGACCATGCATAAACCAAGCAAAGCTTCCAGCTTCCCCATTTCAGACAAATATCACTATAATGCAGGCAGTCTTATAGAGACCATACTGCTTCCACTTCTTGATGCCCAAGCCAGCCCTAGCAGGCCACAACACGCATGCTTTCCATAGGGTTACTGCACTCAAGCTTTAACACTTTAAAAAAAAAAGGGTGAGACACCCTAAAGCTGCTCTAAAATAACCTCAGCTAGGAAAAAACACAGAAGCAGTAGCAGATTTCATAAAAGGCCAGACAAACTGATGGGTGAAGAAAGGGAAGGGTTGATGGAGCCCCAAACACTGTGTGCTTAAATGAGAGTAGAAAGAGACGTTACAAATGACTAAGCGTTCATTTGTTTCACACATGTTGTGAAACAATCTTTCCCTTCCTACTGCAAAATACACTGCATCTGCATTGCTCTTCGGCTCCTCTAAATTTAGCCTTAAACTCAACTCTAAAATTATGCAAGCAAATCCTTCACAAACATTTATCTGCTCAAATTACCACGGGGCTGTTTCTGTGCTGAGCTACAGAGAAGCTAGTTTGCTGCAGAAATATTTAATTAGGGGAGTAATCTGAACATCAGCTTACTGTCCAGTGAAACTAATGCAGTCCTTTGACTTTTCCTCCCACCCCACTGAGTCCTTCTCTCTCTTTTATTTCTAACTTCAGAAAAGCTTGCTTTCTTAGTGGAAGCTCTCCTATATGACCAACTCTTCTCTCCCTGTAGCTCCAGCTTCACTCATATTCCCACCACAACAGCACCCTGATCTGTGTATTGCAAGATGTGTTTCAAATATCGGCAGTTACTTGCTTCTGATGCAAACTTTGCCTCTTTTAGAGAGACACAGAGCAAAACAATACAAGTCACATCCAAGACAGGAAGGTTTCTCACCTCTAATGGCATAAGCCAGGTAAGAGTTTGAAACAGCTATCAGATTGCCATAATAGTATTTCTGCTCCCAGTCATATCTAGCAACAGGTTGTATTTTCACCTGCTCAGGAGAAAGAAAACAAAACATGAGAAATGCCTGGAATTAACTTTGTCCTGGAATAAACCTGCCAAATACACAATTTCCTCTAGGGAAGACCTGTAATGCTTAACAGAAAACTGTTAGAAGCAACAGTTTTTAAGAAGAATTGCACATTGAATGCCTGGTAGCAGAGTCCTAAACATTCAGTGTTCTGGAGGCTGGTGAACATTTCCTTCCATTGCAAGAAGGAATGCAACTCACCAAATTTGTCATGCTGCAGAACAACACTCTACCCTGCAACCACAGCAAAGCAGCCTTTACCTCTTTATTAGCACTGTGTCTGGATTCCCAGTTCTTGGAAACGTTTTTGAAATATAGAAACACATTTGCCGCATGGGCACTTGCTTTTTAGTTTCAATACCATTTTCCAAGAAACTGAGTGTCCTGGTCTTATTGGATAAGCATTGCCTCTGTGAGCAAAGAATTAAGAAATACTATGGAAATTATGGCAGCAATCCTCCCTTTCATTTTTATCTTCAGTATTATCTATAAAAACAATGATAACATGGTACAGTATTCACTTACTATCTCGGTGGTCCCTTAATTCGCTGCACATTAAGGAACAAAATGATATAACATGGAAAAGTGCCGAGAAGATCAAGACCAGAGTTCTCTCTCCTAACTACTAGCATTTGTTCCGAGCATGTCTCCGTATTCTGCTACAGCACTAGTGCAAATTGTAGCATATTGGTTCTTCTGCATCTCTGATCTGCTGGGTGGAGCCCTCAGCAGGACTGAGGCTAGCAAACTATCAAGAGCAACCCTCCCTCCATAGCGAAGACATTCCAGTGAAGAAACAATCATCAGGAAAAGCTTGTTTGTGAAGGAAGGGCACTTTCCCAGGAACCTACAGCTTAGATCATGGACTTATTCCTGAAAATTAGAAGATAACTTGGCCAGACTCTGGAATAACAGTAACAATCAGCTACAAGATATCGCTCCATTTTTTTCCCCCCTTGTTAAGCTCTTTGACAAACTTCTATCTAATTACAAGCTCCTATAACCCAGGAAAGATGACAGTAATTTCTGTTTAAAATATTCAAGCATGAGTTGACGTGACTAAAAAAAAAAAAAAAAAAAAAGAGAGAGAGAGAGAGACAGAACTATAGAACTATGCTTTCTGTTGCTCCTTACCTTGTTACTGCCTCTGGCCTTACTGGTGATGCTGGAATCACTGCTTGCCACTATCTCCACATCTTTTGCTGATATCACTATGCAAGTGGAGCTGTCATCACCGGAAAGGCAGCTTTTAAGAAAAACAAAGGGAGGGGTGCATAGAAATCAGACAGGGCTCACAGGAAGATAACAGAGGTCAGATATTTGCTATTCATAATTTTAACAGCAATACAGAAGGAGTATGTGTGCACCTAGGAGGTTCGAGCTGAACAACTGAAAACAGAACCTACTTTCACTTAAGTTTCCCTTTCCCAAGTGTCAGAGGTTCAAGAGCACGAGTTTGTTCAGCTTAAAAACCTCCACTGTATTTGACTTGAGCACAGACCTAAGCTGGTTAAAGTAGCCTTGACTGGTACCCAACATTGGAAGGTGCAAAGAGACCAATGCCAACTAGCTGAGCTTCATCAACAACACTGCACGCTGCTCATGATTCTCATGGCATCCTCTCTCAAAACTATGACCAGAGAACCCAAACAAAAGCTATTTACACAAGCTCTAACGTTAAGAGTCAGCACATGAAGCCAAGTATTACACTAATTAGACTGATGTGGATTTGTACCATTACTCCCATGGCAAATCCAAAGTATTCTATATGCGTATGTTCTCTTGCATGTAAGCAGTAAAAGCACACATACATGCACAACTAAGCAGAGAGGTAGAAATCTAACTCAGGATCATTTGTCCTGTTTTAAGTTATGTGGAGAGAAATACTTTGACAAGTGCAAGGTCTACCGTACTGCAAACTGATATAAGTTACCCCTCAGGTAACTTGAGTCCCTGAAGGAGTCCAGCTGAGAATGCTAAGTTTCACCCACAACCCTGACTTGCAATGTCTGCCATGCGACCAGTCCTGTTCCCCTTCTTTCTAAACAGCTCTGCCAATATTCTTCAGTTCCTGAGCAGCAAGGCTCACAAAAGCTACAAAAGCTCTGACCAACAGCACCGACTCACAACTGTCATCTGAACTCAACATAAAACTCATTGTCAGATTCCCAGCCTGCTTGTCCAGGCTCACCACAACTAATTCTTCATCGTTCTGTATTCACTCTCAGCTTTTCTTCAACAACACTTACATGACTTGTTTCTCCTGCAGGGCTCCCAGAGAAATGCTGCGATGCACTGGCTTAGCCAAAGAAGGTCCGTCTCCGGCCACAATGGGATCAGGCACCAGCAGTCCATTCAGGTCTCCGTTATAAGAATTTGACGGTCTCTGGTTCTCATTCACCGAACCTAGGGAAAAACATGACCAACTGTGCAAAATATCAATCTAAAAGAAATAGCACTGCGTGAAATACACTACATTCAGATGGTTTTTTTGTCAGGTTCTGCTGGTCTTATCAGATAGAATATGCTGAATTGGCTGGGAAAAGTACTCTTCTTCAAAAAAGATGTGTGAAAGACCTCCCATGTAACAAACTTATCTCCACACAAACAAGTGAAGTCGTAGCTCTTTTCTTACACAAACAATCGCAGCAGACCAGAAAAACACCAAAGAACAGGTACAAGGAACTTACCAGGTTCAAGAAGCAAATAGTTTTGCATCAGAAAGACTAACCTGGTAATTCAGATTTACTGAATCAAGTGCCAGACCAAAGGGTTCTTGAAAGGTCATTTCTAACCCTCATGTCTGCAGAGAGATCTCTGAAGTCCAGCTATGCAGTGGTTAGCTGCAACATTTGGGGTCGGCTAGACATCATACATTTGTTATATTCCAAAACTGGCTTCTAACTGCAAGACCTGACCTCAGAGTCCAGGTGTTCGAGTAACTTAGCTATGAAACCATGCAGCTGTGCCTACGGGATTCCCATATTTTTCCCTTGGTCAACGAGTCACATAGCAGTTTACAGCACTCAAGTTTTGTGTAAAGCAACCATTTCTTCAGAGTTTCAGCTGTGCTTTGAAGAATGCATGTGCCCTGACTTCATATATTTGGCCTAGCACAAGTAGGCTGGTGGCCTCCATGCCTTCTGAAGGCTTTTAGAAGGGGACAGATATAACAGGGGATGAGAGAGACTCTTCTCTCTATTTCACTAACTTCACTAACCTAAATAGTTGACGATCCCCACTGGAGAGCAAGCCCGCTCCATCTGCACTTACACATCAGTACACCAAAGTCAAAGCCTTCTTTCTCAGCAAAATCCTCGCTTGAAATTTTCAGTAGTTTTGAAAACTGAAATTTCGTATACTGTTGCCAGGTAACAACTGCTGCTGAGCTCTTGCAAAATGGCTGCTCCCAGGACCAGAAGCTCCACTGCTACTGGCACACGTAACAAACCTAAACCTAACTGTGGGCAAGAGGCATGTCTCTTGAAAGTAAGGCAAGGTTTCAGTTACCGAATAGGCTTTAAATATCAGGATGAGCGCTGCTGCCTACAAAAATAACTGCAACTATTATTCATTTGCCAGAAGAATATTTAAAACTTGCCCGTTTATGGACAGAGTCATTAAATCAGCAACTATGCTATGGGCACAAAAAGCCTGTGCAGCGACAGGGTACCCCGATGCAGAGACCATTTAGGTGCTCACCTCAGTTTAGCTGCACTGCATGAAGAAAACAGCTTCAGCACTCACACAGCACAAGGAAACTTCAGGCCAGGGAATGTGATCCTGTAACCACCCAACGCATTTGTTCTGGGTTTGCTGTTGCAAGAATTAAGATGCGCCCCTTATTCCTACAGCATATGCGTGCTTGTTCAGTTGCAGCTACTTCTATTGACTGCAATTTACCCTTTGTGACCAAAAAGCAGGAAAATACTCACTACAGAAAAAAGTATCCAGGCTGCCAGAGAAAGACAATACATTCTTTGCTCTATTTGCAGCAAAAGGAATGCCTCATGTAAGTATCTCTGCTCTTTTACAGACAGCAGGACACTGATGTTTGCTCCATGGCAAAGGGAAGGAGGAAACACTTCCCAGAGGCTGATGGGCACAACAATAGTACATCAAAGTTCAGGAAGGGGCTTAGCCCATCACTCTGTCATAGTGGGAGCCAGACAAGCACAGGTGCTGCCTGCACACAATCCTGAAGGCATAAAAGAAGGGAAGAGGCTCAGTGTCTAGTAGGTACACGAACAAAACCAAAACATTAACCTAGACTGGTAGATCTAGGCCTTCAAAAGGAAAGAAGTGTGGTTGTATTCATTACCTTTTCAAAGACCAAGAACGCAGGAACAATCAGAGCTGAGATACCGAACTCTTCCTGCTCCCACCATCACTGGCACCAGGGGATGCTACTTTGTACTGAACAGAACACTTCCCTCATAAACGTCAGAGTAGGGTGAGCCCCCATAACACCTGGTTATTGGCAGAGATTTCAGCGTGGATTGAAGGATCCTGCCCACAACGCCCACAGGGACTCTCCTCTGTAGCATGCTGGTATTGACGGCCTGCCTACATGCCACAGCAGGGAGGCTCATAGTTTGATCATAAAGATGCCCCCCTTGCCGAGGGCACAGCACAAAAAAAGGGCAAGGGCTACTGAAGCAATGGATGATGTTTGTCAAAACTGGGAGAAAACTGTGTCAAGAGAGACTGCGGTGGTGGATCACTTTTTCATTATCACCAAACCCAGCAGAACTAAAAAAGTATTGTGACAGTTGTAAACTCTTTAGAGCAGGGAGTGTTTCTTGTCACCTGCCTGGACAGCACCCAGAGTAACATAATGCTGCTCATAGCTATGTGTACCTAGTACTGCAAAACTTTCTTCGTAGCAATAACGTTGGAAAGCAGCTACACTAGTCTCTGCTGGGTATTAAAATCTGTAAGCAAAACCCAGGGTGTAACAGAAACTAGAACTAGAGAGGACCTTGACCACAGCAACTTTATGCCAGACAAGACTAGCCCTATACATGCTATTCATGAGGCTGCTTCTATTCTCTTTCAAAAGCCTTGAAGCATCCCCCAGTCTCCGTTTCCTCTGACATCCTTACAGGATTTTCAGAGGCTTTCAGTTAACAAACATGTACTCCTGCTTGCTACCTTATTATGTCCAGTTCTTTCAAGTCTATTTGCTATTACCCAGGCAGTGATTTCTACTGAGAACCACAGGTTCCTTACTGCTTGACTTACTGTCCATTTGCTCCTTTTCCTCTCAACTGCCTTCTCGTACCTTACAGTTGACAGAGAAGGTATAAAGAGAATGAACAGGAAAGAAGAAAAATGAAAAGAAATAAGCCATACTCAGTCAATAACTCCTTTGCTTCAGCTAGCAAGATAAGCTGTTTCGGCAAAAAGTCAAGCCACCTTGAAAGAACAGAAACTCCAACCACTTCCCAACCATGACGCATCCTTTCAGTTCAGAAATTGCCTGTGAAACAAGAGTTCCCCATCCCTGCACTGAGTTCTCCTTTCAGTCTTGCAAGTAGAGAGTGCTGCACTGTGAAGAAAAAAAAAGTATTTTCTTACAAGAATTATAACCCAGGAACATGCAAGTGCTCCAGAAACAAGAAAAACTACTTCAAGTAATGAGAAGTTTCTCTATGGGTAGCAAGACTAATGAAGCTGGCTTCCTGTAGGTTTCCTCCACCACCCCATGTGCCGCTACATCGCTCCCACAACAATCCTGCATCCAACCTCTCATCCTTTTGGCCAAGCAAAAGGCAGCACACACAGCAGTTGCTCTGGAGGTAGCACACTCGTACTGACTCTCAGGACACTCAAAAGTTACGTTACTCCTGCCTTTCCCTCAACAGGAGCACAACACAGTCATAAACTCTGTCCTCTACTCAGAGGCTAAGTTATTTTTGCAAAACATTCATGGTTTCAGTTGCCTTCAGACCATTACCTCATCAGGTCTGACTGAAACACCACGGTAAGTTCAAAAAGCTACGAGGGGGGTTGAGAGAGATGCTAGGCTACAGGGGAGCGGGAAGATGTTTTATACAGCTGACTCCTAAGCCTGCTGCTGTTCACCACTGATCTTTTAACAGGCAGAAGGGAGTCCACTGAACTCTGAGCAGAGAAGTATAATAGCTCAAAACAAAGGTAGAATACTCACAACCATTTTAAGAGATATTTATGACCCCATTTCACATTCAAATAAGAAGGAAAGCAAAAAGTTTCTGAAAAGGATGAAGACGGCACTGATCTCAGAGAGGCCCGACAGCCCCTTCCACTGAGCCCAGCGAGACACCTGGGAAAAGCTCAAAGTACGCTTAATAAAGAAAGGAAATTTGGGTCGAGAAGGCCAGTGCTGTTCGGTTCTCAGCAGCAACACCTCTCAGTTAAAAAGAGCCCAGAGACACGCAGCAGCGAGCTTTGGGTCCAAGCTGCTCCCGCTCTGCTCAGCGACAAAAATCCGCTCCTATAAGCGAGAGTCTTCAAGCTGAGTCGCCGGCTCCTCTCCTCACCCGGCTGGTACACACCTCCCCTCTGGCTCCCGGGCTCTTCGGGGAGAGAGCCAAGCGGCCGCCCTGGGCGGGACACAGCCGGCGGAGGGCGATGCCACCGGCGCTGCGAGAGCAGACGGGCCCAGCCCTGGAGCGCGGCCGT